ATAGAGAACTGGTTTCTCTTCCCTGAAGAATTATGGCAGGTTTTGGCAGTAGCCATATTGTCTGAACACCTGAAAAGCGGCTCAGCAGGTCAGCTTAGTGGAGGTGTGTGTGTCTCTGGCCAACACTGAGTCAAGCCAAAGTCTCTTTCTAGGAAACTCTGTTCACTCGGCGGCCCTGTATATGAAACCACACTGAACTGAGCTAAACTCTGAACACGGGACTCACACTGATTCAGTTCACTAGAATATTCTATCTCAGGAGTGTCCAAACTCGGTGCTGGACGGTCGGTGTCCTGCAGATTTTAGCTCCTACTTGCTCAACACGTCTGCAAGGATGTTTCTAGAAATCCCAGTAAGAGCTTGATCAGCTAGCCCAGGTGTGTCTGATTGGGGATGGAACCAAACTTTGCAGGACACCGGCCCTCCAGGACCGAGTTTGGACATGCCTGTTCTGTGTGAAGCTGATTTGACACCTGACCAATCAGAGCAGAGTGAAGACATCTGACCAATCAGAGCAGAGTAAAGACACCTGACTAATCAGAGCAGAGTGAAGACACCTGACCAATCAGAGCAGACTGGAGCTAGTTGACCAATCAGAGCAGACTTTTTCTAGTCAATTGACCAATCAGAGCAGCAGTTTCAGGCGAAGGGAAAGAGCTGCTGCTGCAGATGTGGAGAATATTCATCTCTGCAGGAATGTTTTGAACATGCAGTCGTGTAAATATACAACACACCTGAAATACAGCACTCTCCATCTCTGAATGAGCACATTACACACCCTATAAACGAGCTGCAGATCTAAAGAGTTTCACTAGAGACTCAGAATGAGCACACACACACACACACACACACACACACACACACACACACACACACACACACACACACACACACACACACACACACACACACACACACACACACACACACACACACACACACACACCAGAGAACAGGCCTGTCAAGATCCAGAGGAAGCTGAGCTGAGCAGAGATGCAAGCAGAGCTGGAGTCTTCATCAGCTATGAATAGACTCTCTCTCTCACACTCACACACACACACACACACACACACACACACACACACACACACACACACACACACACACACACACACACACACACACACACACACACACACACACACACACACACACACACACTCACACACACACACACACTCACAAACTCTCTCTCTCACACACACGGATGCTCCATTATCATGTGATGCTCAGAGCTGTTGCTGAATGGTGAAAAACTCTCGGTGGCCTCACTTTCCCTCTAATAATAGCAGCTTTCTGTGTGCTGAGCTGCACATCTTCATCTTCTCAGGAACAGCAGCACGAGTCTGGCCAACAGTCTGTTCATCTCACTGAAACACTGATGATCACCATGAGCATACAACACTGACCAAACAAGCCCAGCCGGCCCTCATCTCAAAGACCTGCTCTCTGCTCCATACAGGGCAAACATGCCGTATCAATAACGCTGCCATAATGATGTTACTCACCGCATAACTAACATGCAAAACACTACTTCAGCAGCAGAACACACAGGAGAGGTTTCAGATTAAATAAAAACACAATCAAGCTGCACACATTCAGACTGTAAAGCTCTAGAGAAGTGCTCTGAAATGTGCAGTTTTATTCACTGTTTGACATAATCTCAGCTGAAACATGAGGAGAGGGCGGGGCATAGAGTAGCTCCTCCCCCTGTTAAAAACAGCCAATAGTCTTTTGCTTTATCTCAGCTCTACCAGTAACAGTGGCTGAGCTCAAGCGCATCAACTGAAAATCCAGTGAGAAGAAGGGGGCGGGGCTCAGATTTGCATAAACAGCCTGAGCATGCAGCACACGAACACTCAGCACATCAAACTAACCGAAGACATTGCACTTATTTAAAATAAACTCATATCACACACACTATTAGTGCAATAACAATATTATTTAGGTATATTCATTCATTCATTCATTTTCCTTTGGCTTTGTCCATTTATTCATCAGGGGTCACTGCAACCCAGCACTGAGAAACACCCATACACTCTCACATACACACTACGGCCAGTGTAGTTGATCAGTTCCCCTATAGTGCATGTGTTTGGACTGTGGGGGAAACCGGAGCACCCGGAGGAAACCCACACCAACACGGGGAGAACATGCAAACTCCACACAGAAACACCAACTGACCCAGCCGAGACTCAAACCTGAGACCTTCTTGCTGTGAGGCGACAGTGCTAATCACTGAGCCACTGTGCTGCCCTTTTTTATGCATATATTACTCCAAAATCATCCTGAAGAGACAGAAGCAGGACGATCAGGCGTTTACAGAACCGGTCTTTATGGAGACACAGAGGTCAGGACAGATCTTAATCCACTTAAATCTCCCTCTCGAGACGCCACGCCGGACCCTCCTCTTCTAAAGCAGAGTCCATTGGTAATTTCACTTCAGAGAGGAATCTTTATCGGCCAGTGGGTCATCCAGCGGTGTCTCAGAGGCTGAAGATCTGCCCTGCGAGACTGAAGCTGAATTTGAGACGCCCGGGGGGTTTCCGGACCGCTCCATTACTCAGAGGTCGAGCCACGGTCAATGAGGGATCAGCCGTGTCTTCATAATCTATCATCACTTACTGTCCCGCAGAGAGATTAAAACACTGGAGCCCGTCCAGCAGGCAGACCTGGAGATCTATCCGGCAGATAATCTGGGAATAACACACACCGCTGGGAGGAACAGGAGTGTGTTATAAAGCACATCCTCAGCTTAGGCAGGCAGAGCTCAGCATGAGCGAGAACACAGACTCTGAACAGTCACATTTATCCAGTGAATATAGGTGATATACTGTGCTGCATTAAAACAAGAGAGTCTGATTGAACAGTGATGTCCACTACAAGGAGAGATGGTCAGAGAACAGCTTTAGCTTTAATACACACGATTACTGCTGCTGCTCAAACTGAGCTGAGACAACACAACTGAGACGGTGGAAATTTGTCCACCGCTGAGTTAATGTTTGTGTCCAACTATGCTTAGGGGATTTGTAGTTCCCAGCATGCTTTGCTTGGCATTGATGTAAGAGATGGAAATGTTGACAGTAACAGTAATCTTAGGTGTCTGAAGTTAAAAGAAAGACGTGTTAGAGTTTAATCTTCACTTTAGTTTGAAGATTGAGAAGAGTTTCATGTAATGCTTTGAGTTTTGAGATCACCACCTTGCAGAAGCAAGAGTGCTTTGGGTGTTAGCAGCTTAATTAGCAAAACTGCACCCAGCCGGCACACATCACCAGACATTAATATTAGGTCAGCTTTAGGTCATGACGTCAGGTGACATTTAGGTTGTGTTGGAAAGTGACCAAAATCCAGCATCTGATAGACGTCATAGTGGTAACATCCACACAATGTCAAGGTGTAACATCATTAGACGTTGATATTTGGTTGATTTTATGTTGGACGTTGAACATTGACGTCAGCCTGACACTGAGTTCTGATGTCAACACAATTTTCATTTCCAAACAAAATCCAACGTCCCCATGACATTAGGATATGTTGGAGTACAACGTCAATCTGACGTCATGTTGACCTCCTGTGCCTCAGTGAGCAATAACAGTGTAAGGCAAAAGCACATGTAAGGAAATACTCTCTTTTACTTTATTTAGCGTAACTTTAAATAAAACTAACGGACTTGGAGCTGTACCACACATGAAAGACACGTGATATTATCAGACCTTTGAGTTTAGGTTAAATAAAAATACTGACGTACTTAAACTTTTGTTTGATCAAATCATGTTGGAACAACTCAATCACGTCACACCTAAAAGTAGTTTTTTTAGTTGGTGTTAAACTAATTTATTGGAGAGAGACTAATTTATTTTTATATATAAAATGTACAAAATTTAAACTAAACTTTCTATTTTTTGCCTGTGTTTTACGTTTGTGTTGATTTTTCCTACGTTTATTAAAATGTCATAGTTTTCCCCAGTATGTTGATTTGGGTTCATTGAGGCCATGTGGTACTTTCTGGAGTGATCTTCAGGTTTTTGTTAGATCAGTTCCAGTTTTGTCTTTTAGTACCAACATTAGTGTTACTATTGTTCATGTGTTCATTTTCTTTTCAGTTTAGTCCCTTTATTAATCAGGGGTCACCACAGCAGAATGAACTGCCAACTATGCCAGCATATGTTTTACACAGCGGATGTCCTTCCAGCTGCAACCCAGTTCTGGAAAACACCCATACACTCTTGCATTCACACTCACACACTACGGCCAGTGTAGTTGATCAGTTCCCCTATAGTGCATGTGTTTGGCCTGTGGGGGAAACCGGAGCACCCGGAGGAAACCCACACCAACACGTGTGTGTGTGTGTGTGTGTGTGTTTAATCTGATGTCCACTGTCATGTTTATGACTGAGAGAGATTAATGTCAGCTTACTGTTATACGTTATTACGTGATTTGTGTTCAGTTTTGTCCACTTGTTTTCCTGATTTGCAGATATAAACACTGTTATCAGCTCTGCATGTGATGTCTATATGCAGCGACTGCAGAGCACAGGAGAGAGATGGAGAATCACAGCAATCATCACAACACAAACACACCTCTGCTTTAATACAGGAGGAAGCAGAGAGAGAGAGAGAGAGAGAGAGAGAGAGAGAGAGACAGAGAGAGAGAGAGAGACAGAGAGAGAGAGAGAGAGAGAGAGGGAGAGGAATGAACGCTTGTTAGATGAAGAACTCTACCCATTTCTACAAGCTGTAAATGCGTCAATGCTCTCTCTCTCTCTCTCTCTCTCCCTCTCTCTCTCGTGTGTGTGTGTGTGTGTGTGTGTGTGTTTGAGCTAAGAATAGCACACAGATAATGTTTTCTATCTCTCTCTCTCTCTTTCAGGTTTTGATCCTAATAGTGGTGTTTTGGTATGACCTGATGAGCTGAAGCTGAATCTCCACAGACTCATCGTGCAGAGAGGGGCACAGCAGGATCTGTTTAACAGCTCACCTGATCTGCTGAAGCGTTCTCACCTGTATCACGCTGCTGCTCTGCCATAGGTTCCTCACCTGGACAGGCCTGTCAATCAAGCGTCAGGCTCCGCCCACCAGAGGCTGAAGGTGGCGACACACACCTGTGGAGAGACAGGAGAAACATCAGCATCAGCGGAACACACACACACACACACACACACACACACACACACACACACACACACACACACACACACACACACAGCTTCAGCGGGCGTCAGTGTCATGTGTGTGGATTGACTGCTGTTCATTATGCAGATGCTGTCATTAATCACTCTCCCTCATGGGCTGTCAATCCCCGAGAGCTTCGTTCATCATCACACACGCATGAAGATCCTCCAGAGCTGATATTGTTAGCCTGAGATCTCCTCATCCTGCTGAACACAACTGTTTTTGCATGTAAAAGTGTTGACATCACAGCTGAACACTGCACACACACACACACACACACACACACACACACACACACACACACACACACACACACACACACACACACACACACAGAGCATTTGAGGGGGTTTCTTCTGCTCTCTGAGCGTCTCTGGAGCTCTCAGATTAGCATGAGCCCACACACATCTCCATTTCTGTGTGAACGGACCCTTAAAGGCACACTCTGTGCTGTTTATACTGCCGGACACGGTGAAGCTTCAGCACAATCTGCCTGGACATCTGAGCTCTGCTGAACGGGCCGCTTGGTTTGTGCTGGTGTGAGTTTTGGGAAGATGAGGCTAGAAGCAGCTGCGTTCGGGATTTCAGGCGAGCGTCCGCTAATCTCAGCCAGTGTAATGAAAAATCTAAATGACTCGCAGGCTGCCAGCTCACCATAATGCTGATTAGAGGAGATGTGTGTGTGTGTGTGTGTGTGTGTGTGTCCGCAGCCTGGATCATAAATCCCTGCTCTGAGCTACACACACACACACACACACACACACACACACACACACACACACACACACACACACACACACACACACACACACACATTGAGCGCAGATAAGATCTGCACAGCTGATTCATCTTGGTGAGCGAGTGTCTGAATAACAGCATGTGCTGAGTGTAAGGCCTGCAGACGAGAGGGCAGAGTGTGTCAAACGTCATGAGTAAGACCACTACAGACCAGCGCACATGTCTCACACACACACACACACACACACACACACACACACACACACACACACACACACACACACACACACACACACACTATACATAGACTTACTGGACACACACAGACATGACCTCATGATGTACTCTATTCTGTTCTGCCAGTGTTTTCTGGACACTTCTGAAGTCATGTTTACAACAGTCAGTCATTCTCCTTCAGCTTAGTTGCTTATTAATCAGGGGCAACACCCATGCACACACACAAGGGAAACATACACACAAGGGAAACACCCATACACGCATGTGTTTGGACTGTGGGGGAAACCGGAGCACCCGGAGGAAACCCACGCCAAACGGGGAGAACATGCAAACTCCACACAGAAACACCAACTGACCCAGCCGAGACTCAAACCAGAGACCTTCTTGCTGTGAGGCCACAGTGTTACCTACTGCGCCACCGCGTCAATGAAGTTTGATTTACAGTATCATGTGAAATTGTGCAGGGGTGAAGCCGGTCAGCAGAGTTTATAGTAAATGTTGAGCAGTGTTTGCATGTGCTGCATATAATTCATTAGGACAGAAGTAACAGTCAGAACAATCAACTGAAAAAGCTCCTGAATAGTTTTACAATTTTCTGTTTTTTCAGTTGAATTAGACATTTTTCCATTTATATATTTCAGCATTGAGGATGTGCAAATCTCGTCTTGTTCTCGTGAACCGCATCTAGTCTCATGGAGTAGGTATCTCGTCATCACACCCCTAATACATATATATATATATATATAAATAAAGTCCTGTTTGGGGAGTAACGCCTGATTCTGATTGAGTCTGAAACCGCATGATTGGACCTGATCTCCACACGTTATTGGATCTGGACATCACTAATTAAATGTCGTTTGATGTAAGTGTTGATTTCTGAAATGACTGCATCCCCACACACAACTGTGAAGAGAAAGTGCACACTTCAGAGTGTAACAGAAGAGTGTGTGAGCATTGGGACATACTCCCTCATTAACAGACTGTTCTGTTGCTTAGTTACAGCACCTGTCAATCATCTCATCACATCGCCCAGATGTCTGTCATGTTTAGTTTCCTGCAGTACAGCAGACAGGTTAATCTGCCGGTCAGAGTCTGTCATGCAGAGAAATGTCCTCGGGTCTTTACAGAACTGCGCTTTCAGATGTTCATGTCAAACACACGTGCTTATAGAAGTTCACATTACTGTGGGAAATTAAATATAATGGCAAAAATGTGTTAGAAATAGTTCACAATAGGTTAGACATGAATTAACTAATACATTTGTCCCAGGAGTGTTCCTTATTTCACATCCATCTCCTGACACCCTCCAGATTGGCTATTACTCCCAGAAATCTGCCCTAATTTCTGTGGCTCCAGCTAGTTATGAGACATCCCTGTTTGTTGAGTTGCCAGATCTTCTAAAGCTCTTCAGCTCACACAATTGATGAAATATTCAAATCTGGATGCATTCTTTACCTCAATCTGGCAACATAGCCTACGCTACATGCCAGATGCGCTGTTGATCTCTGCGGGATTTGAATGTTGGCGGTAACAATGTGAGCAATAGCAGAGCAGAGCAGTTTAATAACACTGGACATAATATAACCAGATATAATAACACCCTAACCCTGTCTCTCAGAACATCGAAGACAAACGTGGGCAATCACACACGTCAGCCATGTTTGTAGTTTATTTACACTTTTTGCCCACATTTGTAGTTCTAATTAAATTCACGTTCATCACACTATGCAATATTAGCCGTTAGCAAACACATGGATCAGTAGAGCATCCGGCTAACTCTGGGGCATGCTATGATTTGAGGACACTAATTCTATTTTTGAACACTAGTGAGGGCTGACAGTCTGTGAACTGGCCGGCAGATATCTGCAGCTGCTCAGAACACACTCAGGTGTGCAGCACACAGGTACAGTAGGGTGTGTTCTGCAGAGTCTGTGCAGGTGAGCAGCTGAATTCTCCATATGCAGCAGCAGATGGCGGGATTCTTCTGTCAGCAGTGTGTGTGTGTGTGTGTGTGTGTGTGTGTGTGAGCAGCAGGATTTGGTGGCTCACGGCTGGCATACAGCGGACAGCACACACACACAGGCCACGACACATCACTGAGAGAACAAGAGAAGTGAAGACTGAACAGGCCCCAGATCAGCCGCTGTGTTCACAGTTCAGTCCCACACAGAAACACAGAGAGCCGTTACTGATCCAGACCACAGAGATGACAAACACCGGCAGAGCCTGAAACCCTCAGTGGTGGACTGTGGGAAATCAGGTGCATCCCTCAGGGCTTATTCCTCTATAAAGGAATAATAACGTCTGCAGTCCTGCACATGTTCAGAAGTGTGTATAGTCAGCTCCAGTATTAAAAGACTAAAGTTGTGCATTGGCAGTTTACTACAGTAACACTTACAGTTCACTTAAACGTGTACTCTATACACTTCAGCACACGTGATTAATGAATGTGAAGCATTGGTGATTTTGATAATTGAATGGCTTTACTATAATGAAATGATTTTAAAGAGCTGATAAATGCAGCGGCACGGTGGCTCGTACGCTAGCGCTTGCTGCAACACTTCTCCATATTGATCTGACATGTAATCTGTCAGCAGGGTTTCTGCATTATAGCTGTACAGCAGCTCTGAAACTGAATGTGCTTTACATGCACTCTATTATTGAACACACAGCGGCAGTCAGATGATCCTCCTCAACCGCTTCAGCATACTGAATTACAGAGCTCAATAGACGCACACACTCAATCCCATCAGCTGACCAGATTACCCAGCAGCTCTGAGACGGTGATCTGAGACTGAACATCAGATCAGTTGCAGAGTCAGAGCAGTAATCCAGCAGACGATACTGAGAGAAACTGTCTGACGTTCACCACTGACACCTGCTCACACCCACATGCTCATCTCTACTGGCTTATATGCTTGCTGCCATGTGGGCGGGGTTAAAGTCACACACGCACACACACACACACACACGCACGCACACGCACGCACGCACACGCACGCACGCACATGCGCACATGCACACACGCACGCGCACACACACACACACACACACACACACACACACACACACGCACACACACACACACACACGCACGCACACGCACACGCACGCACACGCACGCACACGCACACACATGCACACACGCACGCGCACACACACACACACACACACACACACACACACACACACACGCACACACACACACACACACACACGCACGCACACGCACGCACGCACATGCACACACACACACACACACACACACACACTGCATAAGTTTTTTTTTACTACTGCTCAATGCTCTTCAGTGTTTTCTCTTATTCGCTGTAGTTTTATTATAAGGAAATTTATTAATAAATATGACAATTAAGCTTTAATTGGTTCATTCAGCTGAAGCTCAGTTGGTATTGGTGGTTTATGAGGACTCTCCATAGGCGTAATATAATTATATAAGTAGCCGTATATGTATTTTATATATACAAATAACGATATTTATTGGCACATGCCGTGTCTGGTGTGAACACAGCCTTAAGCTGTGTCAGATGTGTGGGTGCGGTGTATTATGGGACGTGTAGTCCGGGTGATTGGTAAAGAGGGTGTTTAAAGTGCCAATATTGAATCTGTTTTCATTTATTTATTTTGGATTACCGCATAAAAATGTTTAAAGTAGAGTACAATAAACATTATCAGATACGAAAAAAGATCAAGATATTGTAAAAAAACGACAATGGAAAACCTTCACTGGATAAATTCCAGCATGAGCATCCAAAAAGAAAGAGTAATAGAATATACAGAAAAGCGGCCCACAGTGGCTTCTGCTACCAGACAAAACTCCCCTTTCTGTCTGATAATGGGCACCAGTTTATCAGGAGGTGGCCATTGTGTTCTCTATCAGCTGCTAGATGTAAACGCTGCACTATTTGCTAATGCTTTATGCTGAGATTCTCATCTT